TCACTCAGAGAACTCAATAAAGGCTTCTGTTCTGGTTCCAAACCCGATGAAAAGCTGGAGGTTCTGCCTCCATGTTGGACCGAGCCTAGAAGGAACAGAAGGGAACAGAAAACCCAGTGGGAAGGACTCACGATGACGGGCTCTTTCACCATCAGCCTCATGGTTCCGATCCGAATGCTGCGACAATCCAGGATGATGCTGTCGCACCTGGTGGTCGAGACTCTGGGCCTCTTCTTCCTGGGAGGAACCTTCTCTGCAGACGGCTGCTTCCCAAACTGGGGCAGAGAAGGAGAAGGTTTCATTCCCAGTTAGCTTCCTGGAAGCTTCCTGGTTCTGAGTCCCACTTCCTGTTACCTGATCCTTCATCTTGGCTCTCCGTGGGATGGTGATCTTCGTGCTGACGTCTTCGAAGAATTCGGCGTTCAGCTCCTCCTGCTCGTCGGCGCTCTTCACCGCCGCCTCCACTTTGCCTCCAGAGGGCGCCGGAGAGGAGTGGGCGGAGTCAGCGGGTTGGGGGGAAACGTTGTCCATGCGGTTCACGCTCTCGGTGCTGGCGGTCTCGGCCTCCTCTTCCTCATCGTCGCTGGACAGGACGACTTAAGAGAAGAAGAAGAAAACAGATGAAGCCGGGAGCTCCAGGCAAACACTGACCTCCTGCCGGTTCCTGATGTCACTCACTGGGATCGTTGAGCTCAGCCTGCTGCCCCGCCGCCCTCTGCCTCCCTTTGGCGGGGGCTCCAGCCCGGCAGGCGCCGGACGTCCCGGCCAACAGCGGGATCCTTCCGTTGCTCAGAGGCAGCGGCGCCGCCCTGCTGCTCGCCATCCGTGGCGGCAGGGCTTCTCTGATGGCGGCTCCGGCTTTGTAGAATTTCTGCTGCAGGCTGTTGGGTCCGAGGGAGGGGTGGGATCTGATGGCGGGTCTGGGGGTGGGGGAGGACGAGGCGGCCTGGGGGCCCACCAGGGACTCGCAGCTCCCGCAGCTCAGACACATGCTGCCGTCCTCGCTGGGCTTTTTGCACTTCAGGCACACCGAGTGGTAGACGGCGGTCCGAACGGGCTGCAGGGACAGACGGGACCGGATCAGGGCTCTGCAGAATATCAGTCAGAGGTCCGACCCAGAACCCACGCTAAACCTCAAAGCCAAAGCCATCAGAAACCTCAACTACCAATCATCCCATTCAGCAGCAACTACTGAGGAATTGTGGGTAATGGAGTCCCCCCCCTCCCCCCCGTTCAGGGCTGGTCTCACCTCGGCCGCTTTGAGCTGCGGGGAGAAGCAAACGTTCTCCAGAGGTTTCCTCTTCTGCTGGACGCGCCGCTTGATGTTCAGCGACTCTCCTTCTGCAAAATATCAAACAGACAGATTTATCGCCATGACAACCAACCGCTTTATTCTCGCCCAGCCCAAGCGCTTATATGAAGGCCATAAATAACTTGGTCCCAATGGAATTTCCCATTAGGAACCTGCTAGCACTAAGCTGCTAACTGGTTAGCAAGATGCCTCCCACAAACCGGCCACAACCAGACTTGCTTCCAAACCTTCCGCCACAACAATCCCGCCCCCTTGATAATCAACCAATCACATTGACTGTAGTCACTCGTGTAAAGTCGTGCACCACTCTGGAGAATTCAGAAATGCAACGTTGGAACGACCGCTTCCCTTCGACTTTAAGGAAACCTTAGGCTATCTGATTATTAACTAAAAAAAAAAAAAAGATGAATCGATTTGCAAAGTAATGGTTAGTTGCAGATCTAGTTGTAATACATCCTTGTTTTGCTTTAGGAAGGTAAAGTTAGTAGGAAAGTCATGCCTCACCTGGGGCCTCTGGACAGGTGAGGACGATGCTGTCCACCTCCACAGCCTGGTTGTTTCTGAAGGATTGAGAGCAGAACATCAGGCTGATGGTAGAAAGTCGGACTCATCCTCACAGACACATTAGCTCGGCTCCATCCGCCATGTTTGGATCAAACCGAAACATTCTAAGTTTGTTAAAGAGGAAACAGAACCGCTTCTCCTGTTCTGCCTGATTCTGGCTCACAGGTTATTAGATGAAGCTAGCATGAGCTTCTCTACCGGATCGGGAGCGCCACTGACCTTTGAGCTGGTTTCCGTGTCAGTGATGGGACCTGAGCGTGCTGGAAGTGGCGACCCTGCAACATGATTCCTGGCGCAAGCGTGGAAGTCAGGATCAGGTTGAAGTCGGTTCTGGTGGATGTGGAGGAGGGAGTCTGTGCTGCAGGCGGGACGTCGCTGCAGGAGGGGAGGAGGAGTTTTAATGAATATCCCGTCCTGTTTGGAGCTTTCCAACAGAACAATCATCTAAAGTTCAAACGGACCTCAGGAAGCCCGGTTCTGCCTGACCCACTGTGGTGGGAAAAAAGTATTCGACTATTCATCCTAGTTAATTAAACGG